ATATCAAAATTTATTAAATAACAATAACTTCACAAGTTTCAATGGTTTTAAAGGAAGAAATCTGCCAGATAATCCTGCCTACTTTGGTGATCAGGACAAGGCAAATGTAGCTCTTTACAGAAATTTTCATGTATATGTATGCATGTTTGCATGTGTGTATGTGTGTGTCTGTGTGTGTACATGCACTGATGCCAATGCTGGGAATCATCACTGATGGCTAGTCTCCCTAGCCAGTTTGCTCTGTCATGGCATTTACCTTGGTTCTGGGATCTGAACTCCAGGTCCTCACACTAGCAAACCCAAACCTTAACCACTGAGCAATATCGCCAGCCCTTTTTATTCCAATCCTAATTACTATTAACTCTTATATATAGGCCACAGCATACAGTAATATATATCTATATGCATATATGTGGTTTACAGAATGAATACAAGTTAAAGAGGCTACAGCAGTGTTCAAGAGTTTTCAGAAGTAGGCTGAGACAGATGCAAATAGTCTGTACTGATAAGATAAAGAACCCAAAACTAGTCATGAGGAAGAAGCTATTGTTGATAATTTGAAAGGCACAACTGGAGTCCAGGAGCAGGAAATGGTGGATTCTGGTCCGGAGCAGTGGATGGCAGACAGCAGTCAAGAAGGACATGTCAGAAGAGGGTCAAATAGGGCATGTCAGAAGAGGGGACCAGACTGAGCTGAAGCCCCAAGGATAGTCAGAAGGTTCCTGCTTGTTAGTCCTTGACACACACACGAAGTATCAGGTAACAGGTGCAGTGCCAGGTGTCCACCCCTTTGTGGAGTCCAGGTAGGGAGTTGCAATCTTTCCCCAATTTGGCATTTACAGTAAGTTCTTGGGCCTGTCTTCCCTGATATTTTAATATGCCTGTGTGGCCTGTGCTGGATAGCTTCAGTTGTCAACTTGACACACCTGGGAAGAGGAACCCTCAACTGGGGAACTTCCTCTACTGGACTGGCCTGTGGGCATATCTGTGAGACATTTTCTTGATTGTTGAATGATGTGAGAGTGCCCAGCCCACTATGGTTGGTGCCATCCCTGGGCAGATGATCCTGGGTTTTATGAGAAAGCAGTCTGGGCACAGCCAGAGGAGCAAGCCAGTAAGCAGCATTCCTCTGTGGTCTTTGCTTCAGGTCCTGCCCCCAAGTCCTGCCCTTAAGTTCCTGCCCTAGCTTTCCTCAATGATGAACTGTGATCTAGACATGTAAGTCAAATAAACCCATTCTTCCCCAAGTTGGTTTTGATCAGAATGTATCACACAATAGAGAAGCCAAATTGGGATATGCCCCCTACAATCTCAACTCACTCCTGAAAAATTTCTAGTTGCACCTTTTCTACTTTCTGGAATACTAAGTCATTTATCAGTCTATGCTGCATGGGGGCTGGGAGGGGTACCTGGCAGAAGTATTGTTTCCTTGCCTACCCAGAAGCCCAATCATCCTCCACTCTCAAAACAAGCCACAAGCTACTTATAAAAAGAAGTCTCTCAGGGCAAGGCACAACCTGAAAAACTATTGTTTAACACAATATGGAGTAATTAAGAATAGGACACAGCCTGATCCCAACGTTCAAGGTCAGTCTAGGCTAATAAGATCCCATGAAAAAATGGGAAGGGGGAGCGCCTAGCAGAAGGTTTTGGGTTTTCTTTTATTATTGTCTGTATTGGGGGTGGTGTGTATGGAAGTCAGAAGACAACTTTGCAGAGTTAGTTCTCTTCTACTTTTCTTTTAAGTGGGTGCTAGCAGTGCAATTCAGGTTACTAGGCTAGTGCAAGTGCCTTTATCTATGAGCCACCTCATTGGCCCCATGCAGGATGTTTTAAGTCACTGGGGATGTGCCCTTGAAGGAGATTGTGGGATAACAGTCTTTTCTTTCTTTTTCCCTTTCTTACTGCAATAAAGTGAGTGGCTTCCACCTCCACACACCACCCGTAAGGACTTACCATAGGCCCCAAAGCAATGGCCAATCAACTACAAATTGAAGCTTCCAAAACAATGAGCCAAACTGAATTCTTTCTTTCCTTCCTTTCTTGCTTTTTGTTTCTTTGTTTTAGACAAGACTCGCTATGTAGACCAAGCTGGCCTCAAATTCTACTGAGATTAAAAGCATGCATCACAATGTCCTTTTCTTCCTAAGTTATTTCAGGTATTTGTTTTTTAAAATGTTTTATTATTTTTATTTTATATGTATGTGCCTATATGTATGTAAGTGCACTGGTGTAGTCCAATGCCCGAGGAGGTCAGAAGAGGGTGTCAGATCCCCTGGAACTGGAGGTATGGACAGTTGTTAGGTGCTATGTAGGTGCTGGGATTCAAACCCGGGTCTTCTGTAAGAACAGCCAGTTTTCTTAACCGCTAAGTCATCTCTCCAGTCCCTATTTCAGGTATTTGTAATGACAACAAAACCTGACTACCATACCTCCAAAGTCATGTTGAAATTTGACTGCCAGTGGCCAGTGTGGCAATGTTGGGAGGTAAGGCCAAATGGGAAGTTTTTAGGTCATAAGCACAGTCTTTATGAGTAGAATGTTTTTTTTTTCTTTTTAATTTTTTTTCTTTTTGGTCTTTTTGATTATTTTATTTTTGATTATATGTGCCTGTGCATGTGCATGCAGGTTCCTACAGAGGCCAGGGGCATCGGGTTCCTGTGGAACTGGAGCTATAGGTTGTTGTGAGAAGACCTGACTGAACTCAGGTTCTCTTCCAGAGCAATCCACACTTTTTTGAGACAGGGTCTCACTACACAGCCCTAGCTTTCCTTGAATTTGCAGTGATCCTCCTGCCTCTACCTTCGAAGTGCTTGGATTACAAGCTACCATACCCAACTGGTCTTTTTTTGTTTGTTTTTGAGACAAGGTCTCTTGTGTAGCCAGGGCTAGCCTCAAACTAACAGCACATCCTCCTGTCTCATGAGGTCTCCCAAGTGTTGAGATTACAGGTATGAGATGCCAACCCCAGTCTTTTCATTTACTTTGGGGGGTGGCTTTTGAGACAGGGTCTCCCTGTAGCCCCTGCTGTCCTGGAACTCACTATGTAGACCAGGGCAGCCTTTAACTCACAGAGATCTGCCTGCCTCTGCCTCCCAAGTGCTGGGATTAAAGGCATGTGCCACACAACCAGCTATTTACTCTTTTAAATGAGAAACTCCATCAATTGGCCTCCAATTTACAGTTTTCCTACCTCAGTTTCTCAAGGAGCTACAGTTCAAGTAACAGCCACTACACGCAGCTAGAAATTTGGGTTGCAAAAATATTGATACCAAACATGAAATAGCCTGAACCTAGACTATTTCACGCGTGATGCTTTAGCTAGCTTTGGGTGATCCTTTAGGAGAAACAAAAGGAATTTTCCAGGTAAAAGGAGGCCAAGGTGCTGGGCATGGTGGCGAATGCCTTTAATCCCAGAACTCTGGAGGCAGAGACAGTGGCTCTCTCTAAGTTCCAGGCCAGCTGGGGCTACAGGGAGACCGTTTCTCAAAAAGACCACAAAAAAAAAAAAAAAAAAAAAAAAAAAAAAAGACAAGGCTAAAAGAATGTAAATAGGGCACCTGTAGAACTTAAAAAATTATTTTTTAGTTGATGAGTGTTTGCCTGCACGTACGTGCACCTGTGCCATGTAATGCTCATGGAGGCCAGAAGAAGGCATTGGATCGCCTAGAACTGGAGTTACAGATAGTTGTTAGTCATCACTGGGTGCTGGGACTCAAACCTGAGTCAGTGCGCTTAGCCACTGAGCCATCTCTCTAGTTCTCTCATGGAAATTCTTGATAGAGGGGCTGGAGGTAAGGGAAGTAAAGCTCAAGGACACTAGATTCTGAAAGATTGCAAGAGGACCCTGAATGGATCCCTATTGAAGAGTTTTAGAAAAGGGTGAAATTTGGTAAGGTTTACATTTCAGAGAATAGTTCATGTGTGTTTAGGACAGATCAAGGGAATGGGAGGATGGAAGCCAGAGACCTGAATGGGAAAGTGTCTTTTCTAAATCATTGTTTTTCGATTTTTGTTGGGAGTGGGATGTATATGTGGTGTTTGCACATGACAGAGGCCAGACGGGGATAACTAGTATCTTCCTTTATAGTTCTCTCCCTCACTGCCTTGAAACAAGGTCTCTCAAAGAACTGGAGGCTTGCTGTTTAGGCTAGCTCTGGGAATCCAGCTGTCATCACCCCTCAATGTGGGGTTATAGGGTTATAGGCATGAACAGTCATGATTCCGTTTTTACCTGGGTGCTAGGGAATCTTTCAAACTCAGGTTCTCATCCTGGTCCACTGAGCATTCTTCTCTACCTCTCTTATTTGTTTTAAATCTTTTTTTTAAAAAAATATTTTATTATTTTATGTGTATGAGTGTATTGCCTGCATGTATGTGAATGCATCCGTGTTGTGCAGTGCTGCGGAGGTCAGAAGAGGACTTGAGATCCCCTGGAACTGGAGTCAGGGACGGTTTGTAGCCGCCATGTGGGTGCTCAGAATGAAACCTGGGTCCTCTGCAAGAGCAGTCAGTGCTCTTAACTGCTGAGCCATCTCTCCAGCCCCAGTGTTTTTTTTTTTTTTTTTTTAAAGATAGGCCTTTAAACACCCTCGGTCCTGGAGTAATTGTTATCAGCATCCCCTAACATGTTCTTAGGTGTATCACCTACATAGTACCTATAGAATTTTCCCAATCCTTGACTTTCCTGTACGAGATATGGGTATATTGTGTATTTTATCATGTTCCATTTGTTTCAAATGCTGGCTACAATCTATTAACTGACTTCGTGATTAGTTATCATAACCACTCGATCCTAAACACCTCGTAGGTCTTGGAATAAGGGAAAGAAGACAAAATTTAGCTTGAGATACGCAGTTTCAGGCTGGGCTTCTCAACCTTGGCAGTGCCTCAGAACCACCTAAGTATGGCTGAACACGCAGCTCTCGGACCCCTGCATGTTTTTTATTTGTCCTTAGCACGTACCGTCATAAAGCATATAAAAGCGAATGTATACTTACAGAGCTGAGAACCACTACGCTCAGAGTAAGTGACAGCCTGGGGAGGAGTCAAGGCGGGGACAGGGAGCATTGCGTGTGCCACTTGGCGGTGTCACCGGGTCCCCAGGCCCTGACTGGGCAGAGGCCAGCGCCACAAGGCCCTGCGTGGGTGGCCTGAGTAACTGACCCTGAGCGACCCTGAGCTCAATGGCGCGGGAACGCGCCACGCGCAACAACCGCCCCACAGTGCCTCGCGCCGCGCACGCGCAGTCCGCGGCTCCCGGCGTGCAGCGCTGCGGCCGAGCGGCAGCGGGCCGCTTTAGGCAGCCCCACCGGGCCGCTAGGTCCGAGGCAGCAGGAGCATGGCGCTGAAACGGATCCAGAAGGTAAGAGTGGAGGTAAGGGGGCCCGCCCACCTCGCCGCTCTGCCGCCGCTAAAAGACCCGCCGCCCAGGCGCGCTGACAGCTGTCCTGAACGAAGCGGAACCACCGTCAGCAGTGCCCGAAGAGGGGCTGGCACATGCGCAGAGCGGGCGGCTCGCGTGGGCGGAGTCACGCGGCTGTGTCACGTGTGCGTGCTCAGCTGAGGCGTGGAGGGTGGGGCTGGAGCTTAGAGTTGTGTGGAAATGCCTCAAACTGGAACATTTGACTAGAAGTTGGGAAGTGACCAGCAGAAAAGAAAAACACCCAGTCTGGCCCAGCGCCACCCCATCCCCGGTACAATTTGTTAGCATTTGAGCATATCTACTTTCCTCCTTTTAAAAACTATGCTCTACTTTGTCTCACATTTTCACATAGCATTTAAAAGTTCGAATTTTTCCATATTGTGAAATAATATTTGTAAGCCTTTTTTTTTTTTTTGTCTTTTGAGACAGGCTCTCCCTGTAGCCCCAGCTGGCCTGGAATTCACTATGTAGACCAGGCTGGCTTGAACTCACACAGATCCACCTGCCTCTGCCTCCCAAGTGCTGGAATTAAAGGGGTGCACCACCACACCCAGCTGTGAGGCTAACGTTTTTTATAAAAAAAAATTATTTTTTATTTTATTTCCTGTGTGTGTTTTTGCCTGCATCTTTGGAAGTACATCCACGTAGTGCATTGCCCACAAAGGTATAAAGAGGGCTTTATATCCCCTGGAACTGGAATTATGGGTGGTTGTTACCACCATATGGGTGCTGGGAATCAAACTTGGGTCCTCTAGAAGAGCACTGGGTCATCTCTCCAGCCCCTTATTTGTGTATTTATTTTTTTATTTATTAAGTAATTTTTTTTTACTTTTTGAGATAGGGTCTCTCTGTACCCTGAGCTGGCCAGGAATTCAGTATGAAGACCAGACTGGCCTCAGACTCAACAGAGATCTGCCTCTGCCTCCCAACTGCTGGGATTAAAGGTGTGTGCTGCCACCCCCCTCCCCCACCCCCTGAAGAGGGTATCAGATCTTCTGGAACTGGAGTTACAGATGTTGTTAGCTGCCATGTGAGTGTTGGGAACAGAATCCAGGTCTTCTGCAAGAGCAACCAGTGCTCTTACCTACTGAGCCATCTCTCCAGCCCCTGTTGGTCTTTTAAAACAGTTTTAAGTAGTCCAGGTAGGCCTCCAACTCTAATTTAGGTTCTCATCCTTTCAGGTGCTGGGATGATAGGAATGCCCCACCAAGCCCAGTTCTCATTTTATTATAGATTCTTCACTAAGTAAATGGTGTGATGAGTGTTGTTCTAGTTTGTTTTCAATTGCTGTGGCAAAAACACTGAGCAAAACCAGCTTGGGGAGGAAAGGGTTTATTTGGCTTACAAGCACAATCCATCATTTAAGAGAAGCCAAGGGATCAGCTCAGGGCAGGAACCTGGAGCACAGACCATGGAGGAGTATTGCTTACTGGTTTGGTCCCCTGTCCCATGTTCAACCTGACTACCTGCCCAGGACCACCTGCCACAGTGGTACATAAGCCTCTTGTGGGGGTGGCAGCAGGGCTGGAACTTCAGAGTGAGGAAGGCCCAGAGTGTTAGTGTTAGGAAGAGCATGCCCAGGGTTAGGACAGTATCTAAAAGAAAGAAAAAGTACAAAGAAGAAAAAAGGAAAAGTTAACGCTTTTCTGGATAACACAGAAAAATGGGTAACCTTAGAAAAGCTGCACAAATACAGCTTTGCAAGCCACAACACAGAGAGCAGAGAGTCTGGGAAGGAAAAGTGCATTATCTCATTAAGGGGGTAAATTATTCCTCTCGTTCTTAGCATGACCTTAGGTGAGTCCACCTTTTGAGAGGAGGTGTCAGCCAGGGAATTGACCAGCCCAGCTGGATTAACTCTTATGTTTTGGGAAGCTTGGAATGATAGTTCTCCATCCAGACCATAAGTAGATTCCATTTTCTTGACCATGAGTTAATAGCTTTCCCTTAATGGGCTTCCAGAGCCCCACTCATACACACACTCTGAAGAGGTAACCCTGAAATGATTTAGGAGATGAACTGAAATTGGGGAGCAGATGCAACCCACTTCTATTATGAAATCCAGAGGTTCAGTTTCTTAGCCATTCACCAGAAGTGATCAGTTCTGGACTAGAGTTTCAGTCCCGCTCTCACATCTGGCCTGCAGGCTAGGAGGAGGTAAGAAACCAGGGCTCCTTCTGGCATTCCTAGCCAGGGAGCTGAGGCCATTTCTTGGAACTGCTGCTGTCAAGAGTGCCTTCCCCTAGACTGGCTAGCCAGTTTGTATCTCCACATCAGTCCTTGATCTGAAGAGCTAGCCCCAGCTGCTGTTATGGAGTTGGGGTAGTGGTCTGTCTGGCTTCTTCCGGCTGAGTGGGGTTATCAGGTGTGGCAGTTGGAGTATCTTTCCAGTGGGCCTATTTAAGGGACCTGAAAGTGCATCACACTTATATAACAGCCAGGTGTAGTGAGGAAAGAAGTCCTTGACTGGCTCCTGGAAAGTTATGTGAGGAAGAAGTAAAGGGAAGAGAGGAGTCATGAAGAAGTGAATTGGAGCCCTTTGAGCAGAGGCAGTGAATTCCATCCTGCCAGGATCCGTAATGAGTTAATATATAAAGTGTAAGGCCAGTCTGGGCTATATAGTGTGTTTTCTAGGCCAGCCTCAGCTACCTAGATCAAAACAAAGTCAAACTAATAAAAACAATTTATAAGCATATAAAAGGAAAACAACGTAATAGATTTCTTTAGCATTACAAGCCCTAAGCAGAGAACCAAGAAGCCAGAACAGAGGTCATTTTAAAATGTCCACATCAAAGTCCTTGAATCTCTTGATAGGCTCACAAGAGCAGTTCATCCCTCAGGCTCCTCCTTGGGTTTCCCCACCACCTCTTGAGTCTCTAAGGATTGACTCTAGAATGATGAACCTAGGATCTGCCTTTAAGCATTTTGATAGCTGTTGGAATGGCTAGACTCACAAGTGTGAGGTCCCTCTCAGATGACTTCACCAGTTGAAACTGGGAATACCAAAAGAGGTCATCTGGATCTTGTTTTGATATTCCTTTGGCTCCTAAATATGAACTGTTGCTTACCTTGAGCTCTTTTTTTAAAATTTACTTTTATTCATGTATATGTATTCGTGCACATGTGTTTGTGTATACCACACATGTGCAGGTACCCGCAGAGGCCAGAAGAGGGTGTTGTATCCTCTGGAGCTGGAGTTAAGGTGTAAGCTGCCTGACATGGGCCCTAAACTCTGGTCCTGTGGAAGAGCAGCAAGTGCTCTTACCTGCTGAGCTGTCTCTCCAGCCCCTTGTCTTAAACTCTTGATCCTCTTGTGTCCACCTCCACAAGTAGACTCCTGGTTCTACCATCTCCGAACTCATTGTGGCCAGAGTACCAGTGTATAAAGGCAGCTCCCTAGGCATACACAACCTAACTCCTGTCTCATGTTCTAGGAACTGACCGATTTACAGAGGGATCCTCCTGCCCAGTGTTCTGCAGGACCTGTGGGTGATGACTGTAAGTATTTTTCCAGACTTCAGATTGCAGGAGTTTGCACCTAAAACCCCAGATTTATCAGGGACCAATCCTCCTTCCCACTTCCCTCACTTGAGCAGCTTTTAAGAAACTGAGTAAGTTGTTTTCCTTTCATATGCTTATAAATTGCTTTTTATTAGTTTGACTTTGCCTTGTTTTGAGACAATGCCTTGCTAGGTTGCTAAGGCTGGCCAGGAACACACTAGATAATTCAGACTGGCTTCAAACTCTTGATCTTCCTGCCTTTACCTCCAAGGTGCTGGAACTATAAGTGTGTGCCCCTTTGCCTAGTGTGGATTGCTTTTTTTTCTTTTCTTTGTTTTTTCAAAACTTGAGGACCATTTTATTAGAGTTTGAGGAAAAATAGCAACAGGGCATGCAACTCCTGGAAAGAGAGAGCTGAAGAGATGTAGCCATGTATCTCAAGAGTCCAAGAAAAGCCAGGCGTGGTGGTGCATGCCTTTAATCCTAGCACTCAGGAGGCGGAGGCAGGAGGATCTCTGTGAGTTCAAGGCCACCATGGTCTACATAGTGAGTTCCAGGCCAGTGGAGGCTACAGGGGACCCTGTCTCAAAAAACAACAAAAAGAGGCTAAGAAAGCAAGCATGCTCGGCGATGGAGGCCAGCAAACAGCTGCATAAAACAGGAAGGGCGTCTTGAGAGAAGCCGTGAGAAAGTCCAGAGAGTCAGAGCAGGTGTGCTTGGGATCTTGACTGATAGAGATAGAAGAGATAGAAAGGGAGAAAAGGAAAAGTTAGGTTTTTAATTTTTTCTGGTTTATTTATTTTTATGTGTATGATTATTTTGCCTGCGTGTGTGTAAGTGTGCCCGTGGAGACTAGAAGAGAATGTTCAATCCCCTGGAACTGCCCTGAATGGTGTTGTTAGTCTCCATGTGGGTATCTGGGAACTGAATTCAGATCCTCTGCAAGAGGAGCCAGTGCTCTTAACCACTGAATCATCTCTCTACCCCCAAGTTAGACTTTTTTTTTTTTTTGCCCCTGAAACGCCATGAGAAATGCACATAGAGTGTCTGAACCAAGTTAGACTTTTTAAGTCTAGAACTCAGAAAAGGGGGCAGGCTTAGCCTGACTAGCTTTTTCAATAAAGATCCTAAGTTTACCTCAGAGTGACTGGTCAGATCACATTCAGAAATTATTCCTATACTGGGCGTGGTCGTGCACCCCTTTAATTCCAGCCCTCAGAAGGCAGAGGCAGAGACAGACAGAGCTCTGTAAGATCATGGCCAGCCTGGTCTATATAGTGAGTTCCAGGCAGGCTGGGACTAGGGAGACCTGTCCAAAAAAAAAAAGAAAAAGACTTTTCTCCGCCGGGTCATAAGAAAGACAGCTTGTCCCAGGTCATGTTGGCTTCTCACTTAAGTCAGAGATAGGATATTAGTGTGAATATTCTACAGCTGGTCAAAGAGGCCTGTACCTGGGTGCCTGGCAGGCAGGAGGGTCGATAAGTAGGAGGACTGAAAGAGAGCACAGAAGCAGCTGCATGTCCCTGCCAAGAGCAGAGGGCAGCACCCAGTACCTATTCTTTTCTCCTGCTCTGCACAGCTCCACAGGGAGACTAGAACAGCAGCTCTGGCCAGCCCTCTGCCACCCCTCACAGCTGGCTAACTAGAGGCTGAGCTGCCTCCCCCTAGGTTTTCCACACTCTTCCTCTGCTCACCATCTCACTTTCACTCATAGGCTTCTTGGGCTCTGGGGCAGTCCTCTTTACTGTAAGCTGTAGCTATAGGAAAACCATGTGTGAGGAAGGGTGGTGTCTTCTACACACTAGAGAATTGAAGAGCTATCTAAACCATTGGCAGCAATCCATGATGGTTAATCTTGAGTGTCAAGAACCTGGAACTCACCTTTTGGCTAGACTGGCTGGTCAGCAAGCCCTGAAATCCTGTCTTTTCTCTCTCTCTCTCTCTCTTTCTCTCTCTCTCTCTCTCTCTCTCTCTCTCACACACACACACACACACACACACACACACATACACATGCCCTGCTGATGCTGGAATTACAGGTGCATATTGCCATACCCAACTTCTACGTTGGCGCCAGGATCCAAACTCAGGTCCTCATGCTCGCACAGCTCGTACTTTACCCACTGAACCATCTCAGTGGGCCTTAAAATTTTGAGCCTCCTCCTTTTAATAGTCTAGTTCATGTTATATAATTTTACTGTCATTTAATAAAAAAATTTTCAGGGCTGGGGAGATAGCTGTCAGTGAAGTGCTCGCTGCTCAAGCGTAAGAATCTGAATTTGATCCCCAGCACCAACATAAAAGCTGGGTGCTGCAGATCGTACCTCTAATCCTAGTGATGGGGAGGCAGAGATTGGAGGATCCCTTGGGCTTAGTGGCCAAGCCCTCCTCTGACCTCCACAGGCATTGCATGCACATGGTGCACATACAAGCAGGGAAAACACTCATGCACAGAAAGTAAAAATAAAAATCTTTTTTTAAAAAATAAGGTGGAGCCAGGCATGGTGGCACACGCCTTTAATCCCAGCACTGAGGAGGCAGAGGCAGGCGGATCTCTGTGAGTTTGAGGCCAACCTGGTCTACATTATGAGTTCTAGGCCAGCTGGGCCTACAGGGAGACCCTGTCTCAAAAAGAACCCCCCCCCCAAAAAAAAGAAGGTGGCATAAGGACAGCACTGATTAGACTCAGTGGTGAATCCTATGAAAAGAGGACAGGAAATGGGAGGGTATAGTATGTATAGAGGAGTTGGGAAGGTATTTACGGTTAGAACACATTGTATATAGGTATGAAATTATCAAAGAATGAATAAAAAAGAAAAGTAAGGTGGAGAACTGTTGAGGGAGACACCTGGCCCCTCCTGCCTCCTGAGTACTGGGATGATGGGGTATATGCCACCATTTTTTTTTAATGTTTTATTTATTTATTATTTTTTTTAATTTTATTTATTTATTTTTTGTCGTTTTGAGACAGGGTCTCCTTGTAGCCCTAGCTGTCCTGGAACTCACTATGTAGACCAGGCTGGCCTCTAACTCACAAAGACCCGCTTGCCTCTGTCTCCCAAGTCCTGGGATTAAAGGCATGTGCCACCACGCCCAGAAATTATTATTATTTTTTATGTGTATGAGTGTAGTGCCTGCATGGATGTGAGTGCACCCATATCGTGCAGTACCATGAAGGTCAGAGGAAGGCTTCGGATTCCCCTGGAACTGGAGTTAAGGACGGTTCATAGCCACCATGTGAGTGCTGGGAATCGAACCCAGGTCCTGTGCAAGAGCAGTCAGTGCTCTTAACCTCTGAGCCATCTCTCCAGCCCAATGCCACCAAATTTAATACAAAACACCTTTTCCCCCTGGAATTTGCTATGTAGACCAGCCTGGTAGATTTGCCTACCTCTAATTCCTGAGTGCTAGGATTAAAAGAGAACACCATCACCAGCCTCCAAAACCGTTTTTTAAAAAATGCATGTGTGTGTTTGGGGGAAAAGGATGTTCATGTGCTGCAGTACACATGTGGAGGCCAAAGAATGACCTGTGGTCGTTGGGTCACATCCCCTGGCACATGGGACCCAGGGATTGAACTCACGTACATAGTTGTCTTCTGACCTCCACACATATGCTGTGGTACCACACACAAACATACACATACACACACACACACAATAACAAAACTTTTTTAAAGAAGTGATACTTTCGCCGGGCATGGTGGCGCACACCTTTAAGCCCAGCACCTGGGAGGCAGAGGCAGGCGAATCTCTGAGTTCAAGGCCAGCCTGGTCTACGTAGTGAGTTCCAGGATAGGTAGGGCTACAGGGAGACCCTGTCTCAAAAAGACAAAAAAAAAAGTGATACTTTCATTAACTCAGGCACCTGTATTAATAAGTAAGCATTCATTGAAGTGTTGAGAAAGATTTGTGAGCTGTTTGGCTACCTTTCTACTCCCCTATGGGTTCAGGAAACTTCTCTTTAGTCTTGTGCTCACCCATGGGTATCATCTCTGCCCTGCTGATGTGAAGTGAGCCTATGGAATATTGGAACAGGTGACAGAAAACTCAGCACAGGATCAGGCCTTAAACCTTGTCTTCCTTCAACACCTGTCATGAACACATGTGAAATGAATCCTCTTGAGAATGAAGACCTCTCAAGTGGTCTTCCAAGCCCACCCCTATGAGAAGATATTTCCACAAAGGCTCTGGAGTCCTTGGGGTACTCATGACTCAGGAGCCTTGAAAGTGAATATTTGGACCACTCAAGGCAGCAATGATGAGGACACAGGAGCTTCTCTGAGGATGGGCAAAGCAGTAGAGAGAAGCTGAGACCCTGGAGAGAACAGGGGGTATGATGTCAAGTAGTCTGGCTGCTGGAGAGAGGACTTGTAGGGAAGCACAGGAGGGCCTCATCTTGGTTTGTCATTGAATCCTCAGAGCACTCCCTGGGGTCATGGATGAGAGGACATGGGTGGCATTGGGGCAAAGAGGCCCCACAGGCCCAAGAGAGTCTGAAGAGGATTTCAAAAACAAGGGAAGAACTGGGAATAGAAAGGGCTCATCAAGAGCAACATGGTAAGTGGCCAAAGCCTAGCTTAGGGGTAATTCTGTGCAAGAGCACTGGATCATAGTTACACTTGTGTAGTATTGAGTCTGGCCAGGTGTGGTGGTGCAAGCCTTTAATCCTAGCACTTAGGCGGCAGAAACAGGCTGATCTCTGTGAGTCAAGGCTAGCCTGGTCTACATAGTGAGTTCCAGGCCAGCTGGGCCTACAGGGAGACCCTGTCTCAAAAAAAAAAAGAAAGAGTCTGGCCTTCAGCCTTAGTCTCTGAGAACTATTCTCCAAAATGTCTCACTTGATAGGAGTATCTTTGCTAACTTAAAGATTTCGCCTCATACCAAATGTGATTTAGAGACCAACCATGTCACTCAAAGTGGGAGACTTAGTCATTGTTGAAGGGGCTGGAGATGGTAGACTGAAATCAACTCAGTGGGCAGGCAATGCATTGATCGTGGAGTCTGAGCACTGAGGCAGAGATAAGCATCCCTGATTGGTGGTATATATGGATAATGGAAACTGCATTTGGACCTCTCATGCTATTAATCTGTGCCACTTTACTTCAATAAACTGTAACCCTGGATATAGTAGCTTTCACTGAGTTCTGGGAATTCTAGTGAATTATTGAACTTGAGAGATTTTCAAAGTCCCAAACTTGTAGTCAGTGTCAAAAGGAGGCAGTCTCGTGTGGACATTGTACTCTAAACTTAGTAGCACTTTTTCAGTAGAACAGATGTGTTCATTGACGGTCTCTTACATGTCCATCTCTCTTTTGTCTTGTAGTATTCCACTGGCAGGCCACCATCATGGGCCCGGTAGGTAGTGCTGCTGAGTGCATGCTCTAGTTTGCTTCTTGTGTTTTTTACTTCCACAGGTATGATTTCTTCCTCTGTCTTGTCCTTCCAGAATGACAGTCCTTACCAAGGAGGTGTTTTTTTCCTGACCATCCACTTTCCTACAGATTATCCTTTCAAGCCCCCAAAGGTGAGGCTGGCCCCAACTCCCCTTATGTTTCCTTAAAGGACAGATTGTGATAAAATGACCTTTTCATGTCACAAGTAAAGAGAATTGTGTGTGTTCCTTCTCTTAAGGCCCTGTCATTCCAGCTCAGTGGTTTCAGGACTGCTGGAATGTTAAACTCCAAACATTCACAGTTCATCCCTGATGTGAGCAAGGGTCAGTGTAGTAAATGGTTTCCTTACTGAAGTCACAGCTTTAAGGATTCTCTGGTATGGGGAAAATCCAGTGTAAAAGACCTGACCACCATAGGTGGAAGATAACAGGAGTCTGGAGAAGGAGGCAGGGGCCAGGTGTGGTGGTGCACACCTTTAATCTCAACACTTGGGAGGCAGAGGCAGGTGGATCTCTGTGAGTTTGAGGCCATTCTGGTCTAGTGACTTTCAGGTCAGCCAGGGCTGTGTCATGAGACCCTCAAAAAAAGAAAACTGAAGGAGGCAGATCCAGGATTGCACAGAGCAGGATCTTCATTGGGGACTTAAAGACAGAAGCATGGTCAAGGGTGGTGTACCCCTGACTTGAGTCAGAGAATGGTGGCCTAAATAGTGGTCAGGGCAAAAGTGGCTTTCATCCAAGCTGAACTGTACCTGTTTTATCTCAAGCCAACATCAAAGATGTAGGACATTCCTGATACTTAAATGGCACAGGGTTCAGTTCTAAAGCTCCGTATACCACTCTAATGTATGTATGGGTTTTGTTGTTGTTTGTTCTGGTTTTTTTTTGGGGGGGGGTTGTTTGTTTTTTATATTTTTATTGAGCTTTTGTACATTTCATACAACAGTTCTTAATCAAATTTAGATACTTTCCCCCATCCCTGCCCCCATACACATTCCTTCACCACCAGACCTCTTGCATTCTGTCATACATGTTAAGTCCTAGCCAGTCAAGCATTTGTACCCAGATGTCCTTCAGTGCTAGTTCATCCCCTGGAGTCTAGTCAGCCTATCTAGAGATCTTAAGGAAGGTCTACTCTCCCTCACACAAGACTCATGCTGACTCAATTTGTTCTGTTTTTTTGTTGTATGCTGATAAATGGTGGAGAAAACAGATCAGGGTTACCCAGGACCAGATGGCAGCAAGCAGGTCAGTGTGAATCCCTCAGATGCTTTTTACCACTGTGCCAGAGTCTGTTCAGGCTAGCTTCCTTCTTTATAGTCCCTTACTGAAGGTTTAGGACAGAACTCAGGGTGATTTTGCCCCTGCCCCAGGGATATTAAGACAGTGTCCTGGGGAGGCAGGTGTACAGCTGGTGTCTGGTAAGTGAGGGTCAAGATTGCCACTCAGGGGCTGGAAAGATGGCTCAGCAGGTAAGAGCACTGGCTGCTCTTGGCAAAGGACCCAGGTTCAGCTCCCAGGACCCATATGGCAGCTAACAACTATCCATAACTCCAGTTCCAGGGGGATCTGATGCCCTCTTTTGACCATTGCAGGCATTGCATGACATGGGTGCACTTACATGGATGCAGGCAAAACATTCATACACATAAAAATAATTTACCGAGTGTGGTGGCTCACACCTTTAGTTCCAGCACTCTGAGGCAGAGGCAGGCAGATCTCTGAGTTCAAGGCCAGTCTGGTCTACATAGTGAATTTCAAGCCAGCTGGGACTACAGGGAGACCTTGTCTCAAAAAGACCAAAAAATA